ATTATATATATATATATATATATATATATATATATATATATATATATATATATATATATATATATATATATATATATATATATATATATATATATATATATTTCTTTTCAATTTTAGTTATTATGCTGCTAGTTATGTTTACCTTTTTATCTTGAGCTTATTTTAAGTTTATCTTTTACTACAAGTTTAATTTAATTTAAAGACTATAAAAAAATAGTTGTACTTAATATATAATTATATTTAGAATAATTATAATAATGTACCTAACATTATCATAATATATATCAATCACATTGTGAGGGCTTCATGATAAGATCATTACGATCTTCTTGAAGTCCGGTCCGTACCATTTAATTATAAAATTTCATTATATATTTTGATTCACGAGACTTGTAAATTATATATATATATATACTTATATATATATATATATATATATATATATATATATATATATATATATATATATATATATATATATATATATATATATATATATATATATATATATATATATATATATATATATATATATATATATATATATATATATATATGTATATATATATATATATAATTATTATATTATAGCATAAAGCTGAATCATTTAAAATAGCTTATAGCTTAATTAGGAAGCCCTATGTGGCTGCTTCAAAGTCGGTAACTTTAACATATCAGATTTCCAACGTCCAGACACCCTACGGTTGCTCAATCCAAATGTTGGACTTGTTATTTACCAACAGCAGTAATTCTATTTTGAAATAATTATTTAACGCTATATATTAGGTAATAAAACAAAGGGCCGCTTTAGTATCACTTGAGGTATTTTAGTTACAAAACTGCTTCCCGAAAATAAATCTCAGCTGTTTAGTTACAGCAGGTGATTGTGATTCAATACTAAACTTTATTGCATCAATCAACTAGAATATTTTATTTCTGTATAAATTCGCGGATCAGATGTTAAATTTAATCATTTCTAACAATTGTACTGTTTGCGAATATTTTATACGTTAATAAAACAAAGAAAAAGTATAATCCTTAAGATTTTTTTGTTCGAATTAAGTTTTTAATATACTCCACATATTAAAAATTTAGTTCGAACAAAAAAATCCGCTTGGTATACCAACTGCTCAACTAAATGGAAGAATAAACTTAAAATAAACTGCTATTATCTTAATCGTTACGTAAAAGCTGAAATATTTAAAACAAAACGAGCTCATAAAAAAGAAAAAATATTAACATCCTTCTAAACAATTTCCATTGTTAAAAAAGTGATACTAACCTGAATGAACTTATGATGACAACTTGGGTTTTTTTATTTCAGACATTAATTATTTACCAATCTAAAACCCTATAAAAATTTTTCCGATTTACAAAACTCTTTCATAAATTCTTTAATTCTAGAATACTCACGCTCTAGAAATTAGCAAATTTGTGTTCGGTCTATAAAAAAACGAAAGATAAATTACTTTCTCAAAACTCTTGACCATTTTTAATAAACTCTGTTGCCTGCAAATAAATGAAAATATTTGTTAATAACAAAATCTTTAAGCCCATTACCGATAATAAAATGCTCTCTGCAAATTAACATGGCTTTCTTCATCATAAGTTATGTGTGACTTATCTAATAGAGACTTTTGATATTTGTTCATCTTCTGTAGTATTTCACCAATTTATCAATGTAATCTTGACTTCGCCAAAGCGTCGGTTTTCTACCTCATAACAGACTTAGAATAAGATATTTGGGAATGAATTGAAAACAAAATAAAAAGTTATAATAAATCCATCCCTAAAAAGCTCTACTAAAGTGCGTAATTTAGGAGTCATTATTTTATGTAATGCCAACTGGACCTCATCTTTTCAAACATTTGTATCAAAGTCTTTAAAACTTTGAAAAGTCATTTTTAGGCTTTGGCCCATAAAAAGGCCTCCAAAACCAAAAATAGCCCCGGGCCCCAAGAAGTCTTAATCCCCCACTGACGTGCGTAATATAGGAGTCATTATTTCATGTAACGCTAAGTGAGCCCATATTTTCAAACAGTTGTGTCAAAGTCTTTGAAAATTCTTGGTACACAAAAAGACATTTACTTTCATTGACGAAACATTGGCTCGCAAGTTATATAAAGTGTTTATTAGACCGCACCATAAATATACAGTTTCTATTTTGGGTTTCTTATTTAAAAACTGATAAAACTTCGGTTGCATCTATTTTACGCAAGGCAACAATATGGCTTAAGTCATTTTTAATACGGCAAAAAGCTAAGAAGATTGAATCTACTAACATTGACTAACTGTTTGATAGGCCAGTGATAAGCTTAGAATTAAGAGAAATTTTAACACGGTTTTCACGCATTCTACACATTGAAAACTTCCGGATAATTGCATTTTACTCGTGTCCACAATAACATTTTATGATATAAGTTGCTCATTTATTAATATAATAGTAGCACTCATGTATATTTGACATTACCCTTTAGCTTAGCAACTCAAAAAAGATCCTTAAGCACATTATAACATTTAAGGACAACAACGGCGCAAATCATTTTGCCTCATTAAACCTAATATGTATTAGTAGCTATAGCTACTGAAGCAGTAATAGCAGCTCAATCAAATTTAAAAGGTGTTATATAATAAGTTGCAGCTATAAAGATAAGAGAAAAACTTTCATTAGATTTTTTACTTATTAGACTTGCGTAGTGTATCATACTGGTTTCCATTCAATTATATCAAAATTGTATTTAAAAATAAGGTTTTTGTTTTATGTATAATTTTTGTCAAGAATAGGAAGGGAAAATGGGTGTAACAATAAAAGTAATTTAGGGGCTTGAATTAAAATTTTGCGGGGAGGCCGATTTTTTGTCGCTGCGCTACTGCAGTGTAGATATGTATTTATATTTTATAATGTATATGTATAAATTATAGATTCATTCACACTTTCTATATAAATTCTTTATGTAATATATATATATATATATATATAAATATATATATATATATATATATATATATATATATATATATATATATATATATATATATATATATATTTATATATATATATATATATATATATATATATATATATATATATATATATATATATAAATATATATATATATATACATATATATATATATATATATATATATATATATATATATATATATATATATATATATATATATATATATATATATATATTATATATGTATATATATATATATATATATATATATATATATATATACATATATATATATATATATATATATATGTATATATATATATATATATATATATATATATATATATATATATATATATATAATATATATATATATATATATATATATATATATATAAATATATAAATATATATATATATATATATATATATAAATATATATATATATATATATATATATATATATATATATATATATATATATAAATATATATATATATATATATATATATATATATATATAAGATATTTATAACATAAGATATTTATAATATAAATTCTATTTTATAAAAAATTTATAAAAATTTCATTTACTAAGTTTTTTTTTCTTCTGAATTCGTTAACTATTTTGAACATAATTAAATAATATTTTTTTAATTTAATATTATTTTCTACCCAATTTAAGAAATAATCACTTTTTTATTTGAGATGTTCAAACCAAATTAAAAAACTAAAATTATGCAACTATGTAATTGTTTGAAATTTTGAATTAAAATTTTTTTTATTTGTTAGAACAGAAATATAAACAAAAGTTCGATAAAAGTATCAGGTCAATATTAAAACAACGTTTACAAACAAGTACTGAAACAAATGTATGGCTTGAAGATATAAATTTTATATTTTCATTTAGCAGTTCGAACTCCTGATTTAAATTTAGTAAATGGTGTGTTGTAATTACATTCATTCCATAATGGCTTAATATATGGTTTGTGCAAATAAAAAGCAATTTACGTTACTTATAGGCATTTCTGAGTTCTAGAAAACTAAAGAGAATGAAGCTCTGCAAATCACGATTAGATGTATACCAACAATTATTGATCAAGTAAATGAAAACAGAGGAGAAATAATGTTAAAAGGAGTAGTATTAAAACTATAAAATGTTTAAACTTTAGCAAGGGCGCAACGCGCCAATCAACTACTTAACTTTACTAATTTATACAAAATTAATTTACAAATTAATAATAACCTTTTTAAATCTTTTAGTTTCTAAAAGTATCGTCTAAACTCATAACTATTATAAATATAGTTTCTACCTATAAAAGTAAACGAATATATAATTAGCGTAGTCGCATATATACACGAATATCATTTTAAATGTAGAAACTTTATTGGTAACAATATGTTAAATTTAAAAAAATTATTAGATAAAAAGAAAAATTTATCGATAAATGTAAACTTAGTATAAAAAAAGTACTTAATACCTTTTTTATACTAAATTTACAATCAATAAATAGTCTCTTTATTTGGGGTAGTTTTGACACAAATACTTTATTATTACATTTATAATTATAAAAATTCATTCACATATAAATTACAAAGTTTTTTATTATACTATTCAACATAATATGACAATAATAAAACAAAGATATATAAAGAATGTTCTCATGATACATCATTTCGAATATATTCGTGGCTATCTTTAAATTTGTGTTTTTCCAGTGTTTAACAAATTTTCTTAATATTTTTCTAAAAATAATATAAAAACTAAAATAAGTATGTTTAATATTTTTAGGTTAAACTTATGATGTAAAATTTATATAAAAATTCCTTACAATGCAAACTTAAACCCGACCCATCAAAAACACAAACCCTCTTTAGAAATTCAAACACATGTAGAAATATTTAAAAGAAACACAAGAACGTTTTGTCAAAAAGCATTGAATCAACATAATTAATATATCAATGTTTTAAACAAAATAGTTAATGTGCAGATAATACAAATAAAGATTTAAAAACTTTTTAAATATAGACATACCAATTTTTTCATAACAAAACTTCCTTAAAAAAAAAACGGTTCTTGCCAGGAACAATAACAGCATTTTGTTTGTTTGGAATCTTGTTTTGACGATGATGGTGCAGTATTGTGTAGTCTTTATAGAGTTTAAAAAAAAATTCATTTTATATTATTTTATTCAGATAGTAACTTGCAATAATAAAAATTATAATTGATGAAATAGTATAAAATAATGTTAAACAGTTAAAAAAGTGTTAAACTTTAACAACGTTATAAAATAACTTTAGTTATATATGTGATACATAAATTTAAATTTACGTTGTATCATATCTCTTCTAACTCTTCTTGTATAAAGAGTTTTTAAACTAAGAATTTCTTATGATATCCTAGTTAAGAAAAAAAAAAAACTCGCTTCCCACCTGGGCTCCATATTGGTTCCCATGAATCCCACACAGTACTCACATGGAACCCACGTAGGACATGCGTTTTTTTCACTTAAATGTTTTTTGTTTCCAGGATGTCAATATATTCTTAACTTTACTGCGATTGCGCCTAAGTGTATCAACTTAATAGTGCTTCGACATAGGCGTGGCAAAAAACAAGCATACAAATTGTTTGCTCAATTTTGCTTGTCCACGGCAGGTGAGACGATTTTCTTAACTATATTAAGCTATTTATTATATATTTCTATTAAATATTAAAGTGCAAGTTAGAAAATATGATACACTGTAACTGCTTTTTTTAGTTTTTTATTTTTCAGTTTTTAGATTTTTATTTTTTTTTAATGTGTATTTATAAAAAAAAAACGAAAGTTCCATTTCGCAATACATTTAACTAAAATATTTCTTACCGATCATATTCTTTGTAATTTATATACACCAAATATTGCTCAGCAGAAAGTTGAGAAGGGTGTTTGTTCCCCAATGTGAATAAATCATCTTTAGGAGTATAATTCCAGATATTGTTTCGGCTGGGTGAAACATTTTGTTTTGGCGCATTTAACAACTTCATATCTTCATTTTGTCTTTAAAAGAACAAAAAATATTTAACAACATAACTAATACTTTTTTGAGATATTCAGTTTTTCAATATTGAATAGTCAAAATTAAATTTTCCTAAAGTCAACATATCCTATTGTGGAGTGTTTTCTTCACTTTATTTAGGTTCAATGATTTTTTTAAATCATCTTTAAGTTTTAGAGAAAAGAAATAATAATAATAACATAGCTAATACTATACCTGACTTAACTAAAAAGCTAAATCCAGTTTCTTGAACTTTGAACTGGATTTCAACAATCAGTTGAACGAATTATTTAACGAATAGTGGAGCGAATAGAAAATAGTAACTTATTAAAAAAAAATTTATGAGGACAGAATATTTGACAAACTTTGTAATCATAGCTTAACGAATACTCAGTATTTAGCTTCCTTTGAACTCAATTTGCAAAGTTAAACAAACTTTGCCAGTACTAAGCTACAACCTGACTTAACTAAGTTATAAAAGCGCCGTAACAACGTCACAACAAATTTCTAGCATTTTAACTTTTTTATATATAAAATACTAAGCATGTAAAACTGTTATTTAAGCTAGAAAAGAAACGGAAAAAAAAAATAACTATATAAATGCATTTTTGCTTTGTACATTTGTTTTATTAAAAAAATATATATATTTTCTGTTGACTTTTTTCTGCTTTTAGTTTCTCAAAAACAAAACAATAAAAGTTAAAAAAAAGCTAATTAAAAATTGCTTTATTTGCTTTATTATTGTTGATAAAACTGTTAATAAACTAAACTAAAAGTAAAAGAACAAAAATGAGTTAACCAAAAATGAAACTGATTACAATGATAATTGAGTATATGAGGATAAACAAGTAGATCTTTCGATTTATTTAATGGTATTACTCTTATAATACAAGGAGCAAGGTACGTTTTGTATTATAACAAAATAACACCATAGTATAAAAAAAATAAATAAAAAATATGACAATACTTGTTTAAACCTAGCTTTTAGATGGTATGGCCAATGTAAGTTAAGTAAAAATAAAAATATTTAAAAAAACTACAGTACTGAAATCTGTATTTAAATACTATACAACATAAATGTTTTATGTTTTATTATTTTGTGAAGTTAATATTTGAACTATGTTTAACAATAAAACAAATAAACTTACACAAACAAGTTTTGGAGATAATAGAAAGCAGTACTTAGTAGTGTTAACTACATTCTACCTTATGAATTATATTATAAAAACAGATACAGAAAGCTTAATACCTTATCTTAGATATGAGGTAAACTAGTGGATTAGTCCAGCGTCCGACTGGTTGATGGGGCTTTGCCCACAGTACTCTTTTAAATCTAAAGAAAAAATTATATTAAACATAGCCATTTAAAAAAAAAAAAGAAGTAAGCATATTTTTTATTAAAAATTGAACATTTATGCAACGGAATGTTTATTTTTGAATAATTTTAATAGAAAAAATGTATTTAATATTTTAAATTATTTGTAATTTATAAAAAACATGCGCAGTAAAAGTTAAAACAGAGATTCAACAAAAATGAAAAATTATTTCTAAAATTTGTACCTGGCCGAAGTTTCCGGACAAACCACGTAGGAATAAAAAGTGTTATTCACATGATCGCAATTGAACTGCTTTATACTTTCATTATTGTTTTTCAGCCTGTCGTATTTCAGTTCAAGTAAACTTTTTCTCGGAATATAAACTTCTTGGTTCTCTAAATCACAACTTATGGTGGGGTTGTATGATGTAGAACTATTTGTAATTTCTTCAAAACACATTTTATTATATTTTACTAGAATTGGTTCTTGTTGCTTCTTTGAGAGACAACTTTTTTTCCCAATGATGTTAAATTTTTTGAGTTTACTCTTTGTAAAATCATATTTTCTTTTAAAAGATTGAAATATGTTTTTAAAACACATTTTAAAAAACCTTTATCACGATTTTTGAATTTCGAGTGACAAACTGACAATTTTTTACTTTACAATATAATCAAATTTGACGTCATTTATCAACGTCCAATTTTAAATAAGAATCAATTTTGAGTTTAAAAGTTTGAAATATATTTATTGCTATTTTGATATGTTAAATAAATTTGTAACTATTTTGTAATTTTGTAACATCAAATAAGTTATTAAAGAAAATTGTTTTTTAGTTTTTTAAAGTTTTTTAAATTTTTATGTAAGTTTTTTTTTTCAATGGCTCTTTCTCATTTCAATCTTTTTCAGTAGAAACTTTAGATATTTTTTACGTCAGGTTATTTTTTTATTATTTTTTTTTTTTCAGTAGGTTTGTACATTAAAAAAAAAAAAAATTCAAAATATTAGGATCTGCATTTTCTGAGGCCTATTTATTTGAAACAAAATTAAAAATTAAAAATTTAAATTATTTATAAGCTTTGTTTTTTCCATTTAAAGAACAGTATTTAAAAAAAAAAAAAAAAACGTTTGCCCTCACCAAAGCGTTGAGTATATTTTTGTTTTTGTGATTCAAGCATTCTGATAATTTTCAAAATATTATCAAAAAATGTATATAACATTATCGCAAAAAGACATAATTTTTGTTTGACAGAAACATAATAGAAAAGCAACATCCTGCTCTCATTAGACGCCCTAGTGGTGTAGTGGTGTAGTGGGAGAGTGCTCTCAAGGGAGAGGCTCTTCATAAGTGAGAGATTCCGAGTTTGATTCTCACCACGTCCCTGGTAGTTTCTACGCGCAGCTTCCTTGTTCTTCAAGGTTTGTGTTTCAGATTTAAAGAATTGAGAAATGGTTATAAACACAATTAGTTTCCTCATTTGTAGTGGCCTTCTCAGCCTTGGAGAGGTGAATTGCAAAAAAAAAAAAAAAAAAAAATCTTTTCGCTCACATACATAAAAAACATAAATTGAAAATTCAAGCAAAAAAGAAATGCCAAATTATCACTTTAGACATTGAAAGATCTTACAAAATACTGTATTTAACAATATTTGTAAGGGTGCTTTACTATATACTCCCACGATTAAATTATTATTGCTTCATATTATATAGGGTAAAAAAGTGCAATTTAATATTTCGAAAACTCTTATATTTCAAAATTTTAAGCAGCCATGGTGCAGTGGTTATAGGCACGGGTGCCGCATCTAACTCCAGACAGGTATCTAACTTCCAGACATGGAGCAAACTCTGAATATTTATATGTTATACTTATGTCAAGTATGGATGCTGTCCAAGTAATTGCGATAATTGGAGGCTATGAACAAAAAAGCAAAAAATTTTTAAGACTTTTTATGTTTACAGGGCTTAATAGCAAAACTCTAAAATACTCTACGCAATAAAAAAGCTAAGTTTACCGAAATATTACAATATTTATATTTATCTTTGCAGAATATCATAACTTAGTCTTTCGTCTTAAAGAATATAGATGAAAAGTTTATTAAAAATAAAATGTTATTTTAAACATTAAAAAAAAGAAAAATGATTGGGCATGTTAAAATGTTATTTTAAACATGCCCAATCATTTTTCTTTTTTTTAATGGAACTCAAAAAAAATTCTAAGTGATAAAAACGACTATACTAAAGTAAAAAGTAGTAGACAATAACCATGAAACAAAAATAATTATAAATCCTTTATATCTCTTGAAATATTTTCGATACTATTTATTGAAAAAACTTTCGCTCTTGAACTACCTAAATAAAGCTCTGTAGAGAATAATTAAAAAAAAAAATCCCTTTTCTTATTCAACCGCATCTCATCATGAGCATCTCAAAACGTATCATCTTAAGCGATTTAACCATGTACTATCACAACTTAAAAAGTGACAACAGTTTTTGTAATATCTCATAAATCATTTGGAACTAGCTGTAGATACGCATAAAATATTGCGGATATAATAAACTTTTGATGATCTTGTTTCGTTATGACCTAATTACAAAATATTGAAAAATAAAAAATTATTACTGAGATGGTAAATTTTTTAACAAAAAACAATAAAAGGATATTAACAATACTAGTAAGAAATTAATATGAACAACATCGTTGAACTTGCATGAATATACTTAATCGAAAAAGTTTTTAAAAAAATTAGTAGTCTACGCGTAAAAGTGGATATAGCATTTTAGGAACCTGCCTGTCTTATGCAGCCTTCTTTTGCTAAACAGCCAGCTGCATAGCTCTCGAATTGTCTGTGTCTGCAATATATCTATTGCATAAGCATACAATTTGCTCTCTCCCTACATATGTAATATAGTATACAACATATTTTAAAAAAATTAAATAGGATTTATTTCTATAATAATATTAATATTGGGTTTAAAGAAACCCAAAAGTCCAAACCCAGAAAACGGGCTATGGAGGATTTAATGCACGACTCTAACATATTCTTTTTTTATTTTTACTAAGTTACAGAAAGTTTATGTAAAGATCTTAAACTCATAACAAATCTTATTTACCATTTTTTCTTGGATGGCTGAAGTGTTACAAGTGCTCGTAGCATAAAAAAGTAGATATATTAAATGTTTACCCTATTAAATATTATGGCTCCTTTAATATTGAAGCTTTCTTTTTATTGGCTATTTGTTGCTTTATATATATATATATATATATATATATATATATATATATATATATATATATATATATATCTATATATATATCTATATATATATATATATATATATATATATATATATATATATATATATATATATATATATATATATATATATATATACATATATATATATATATGTATATATATATATATATATATATATATATATATATATATATATATATATATATATATATATATATATATATATATATTAATATAAATTTTTTTATTTTAATACCAAATGTTGTCTAGCATTTTATAATTAAAAGGATTTCGTAGAGTAATGAAACTAATCATAATCATTTTTAACGATAGAAACCAACAGGAGAGTAAGGTTAGCTGCCTATCAACACAAAATACTAAAACGATAACATCAGTACAATTTCGCAGAGTAATAGCACTTAGCCAAAGATATTTGTAGATTTTACTAATTATTATAAGAAATGTGTGTTTTTAAAAGAATTATAAGAGGTTTAGAATGTATTACCTGATACACACTTGCAAGTCTTAATAATTTTAATATTTAATTTTAAAACTTAAATGAATTACCCAGTACTTTTGCAACTAGGTCCGCGGTTCAATCCAAATCCTGTCATTAGGGCCCCAAAATTCTTAAAAAAATTTTTCCATTGGGTATTATTAAATGGAAAAAAAAACTTCTAAAATTTGCAAAAGGACCCTGAATTTTCGAATGCGCCTCCTAAATTCGACTCCCCCACCCCCCTCTATAAGTTCTGCCACGGCTATGGTATGACCTAATTTTCGCAGTATCAAGTTAATTTGACGTCATTACATTGAAGTTTATTATTTGTGTTTTTTTTCTTACGGGTTTTTTATATTACTTGAAAAACAAGGGTATATATAACCCCTAGAAATATTGTATTTTATCATAAAGAGTTTAATAAGTACTTTACATACTATAACAGATGTTTTGACTTTATTAAATTATATTTAAAAACATCTTTTTTTCCCTAAAGCGACTATAACTCTTTGTTATTATCAATTTTTTTTTTTTTTGTGGTTTTTAAGATGCTCCTATAAGTCCTAACCGTCTTATCACAGAGCACCGCGGAAGAGCATTTAACTAGAAAATTTAACAACTAGCCCCACCTTTTTTGTCAATGTTGCTTATTCGGCTAGAGCCAGCGTTAAATCTGAGACCTCTGAGCTCTGAGTCAGAACTTTAATCACTGCGCCACGGCTATATTGATTATTTAAAAATTTTTTTTTTCGGTGAGACCCTTTTCAGATTGATTTTTTACAAAGTTCATTTTTTGACAGGCTGTTTCTCTATATTTATGTTAATCAGAAGAAATAATAGTAAAAAAAAATGTTCATTCATAAGTATTATATACAAGATTATATCTAAATTTGTAACAACAGCAATATGATAATACCATGTCTACTGCCAGCTCCAGTCGGACGTTTTCAAAACTTTTTATTGTCATATTGGAAAACATTGTAAAGGTTATTTCTAATCTAGAAATATAAATATATATGTATATATATATATATATATATATATATATATATATATATATATATATATATATATATATATATATATATATATATATATATATATATATATATATATATATATATATATATATATATATATATATATATATATTTATATATATATATATATATATATATATATATATATTTATATATATATATATATATATATATATATATATATATATATATATATATATATATATATATATATATATATATATATATATATATATATATATATATATATATATATATATATATATATATACTCAGCGAAATTTCTATAGTTCCATGTAGTTATTGCAGATTTTATTCGGAACGCATTAACAAAATTAACCACAAAAATTTTCCTAAGTAGACCTATTGCAGACGAACGCATTTATGACAATTTTATGTGTTTCTAAAACAATTGAAACTAAATTTTCAAGAATGTTTTTAAAATTGGTATTTATACTGGCGAACTTTCCATAGTTCCTTTAGTTTGTTTTGAACACTTAATAAAAGTTAATTGAAGTTTGAGTAAGATTTTTTTATTGGTTTGTTTTATATGAAAGTTTTGTGTATTTTTAATTAAGATTTGTTATTTAACTATTACAATGCTACGCGGTAAGGTGTTTAATGAGGAAGAAAATACAAAAACTGTTGCTTACAAAGATATGGGTT